ACAGCGGGAGAAAGATGGGGCAGTCTGGTTCTCTAAAGATTTAGTCTGAGAAACCCCGTTGGGTCAGTTCTAGTCTGTCCTACAGAGGGTCACTACAAGTCAGAATTGACTCTACAGAAGTGGATTTTTCTGTTTGCTCATGTGGATGGACAATGTAGTGTAACTACTCAAACAGCTAACTATCGCTGCTTGAAGACTGCTTCTGACATCATCCAAAACCAGAGGGGGCCCTCTGTGGAGCTCATGCCTGAAGCTCCTTAACATTGTGAAGGGAGTCTTGCACAGCCAGGCCTCATGTTGCTAGAGCATGCAAAAGGAAAAGACACAGGCATTGTTCTGTTGGTCTCTGTAAGGGCCGTATGCTAACCAGGCCATGGTTCCTATAGCAAAAGCTCTGCCCTGATGCATTAGCAGCGAGCCAGGCATGGGGTGCGCCCCACCCCCTTGTCACTGCTTTCCTTTTTAAAATGAATCATAATTTCTGCACTGGATATGAAGATGGGTTTACAGCTATTAGCCACCATATTAATAATTTAGAAAATACATGCCCAATCACTTGTGTTCTTTCCATTCTCTAGGAACACAGCTGCAGCCCTCCATTAGAATCGAGGGGGAAATGGATATTTTTTAGATGAGATATTTGGGCTGAATTATTAGGGTAGCCGGTACTACAAAATTACTAATAAACATTGCTTCTGGCTCAATTTAGCCTGAACTCAGTGAACCTAGCCAATAGTGACAAATCAAAATCTCTGAAATGCCCGATGAATGAATCTAACTAATCAAGGAACCCGGTAGGAAGTAGATGCCAGGATTAATGAGCCAGTAGTTTCACCATGCCATGCTGTTATTTCTTCACATAAATGCCCTCAGATGAGATTACCTTGATGTCAAGAAAAGGAGAAAAGGAAGATTATATTCTTCGACTGACAGGTTAACTACCACATTTCGGGAAGACACATCTTCTTGGGCTAAGTTTTTCTTTATCCTAAAATTAACATTTAACGTCCACAACACAAATTAAAAACACACTTACCTTTTTTTCTCCAAGAAATCACTGAGGACATTCCAAAAAATGTGTCCGAAAATCAGGATTTCTTCTGTATCTCTATGCACATCTACCTTGATGTCCACATCTACCAAATTCCCGTGCATCTCCTATTATGTATTCAAGACATGGCACCATCCCTAGGAGGCTGCTTTCCTACATATTTCTTTTGCTGTCAGCAAAAGGTGGGTGAAGTGCAGCATCATTTACTATACCACCACTTGTGTGCCACCCGTGATGGTATTTAGCACCAACATCGAGGAGAAAATAAAGATACAAGATCAATCCGTTGGCGAGTCCATCACAATGGACTTTGACGTCTTCTACCTGGGACGTGGTGATAGTATCCAAAGCACAATTCCAAGAGGCAGCACATCTAGCATGTTGCATCTATCTCCCTTGTGCTCTGAGAGTTTTCTTCAGTTGTGGCCTCTATTCTGGAACTTCGTTTACTATACTTTACAAGTTTTGAGTCAAACAACTACTTCTAAAGAGTAAAATTAATATGACGTGTTGCTCTGTTGTGAACACTTTTTCCCCCCTCCTTCAAGCTTGTGATTGAAATTGTCCCTCTTTTCAACTTCATTAAACTTTCAACCTCAACAGTTTAGTCCAGGTTGCCTTCCCCCACGTTAATGGCACATAAGCCTTTAAAATGTTTCAGGTTCTTAATACAAAAAGCCATTTCTATAGAAATAAATATTATTCCAGAGGCAGGTCAAGTGAAAATCTCTGTACACTCTCATTATCATATTGATAAACAACCACTCTTTTTTGAAATACAAGCATTTGGAGAGCATCTATCACTTTAGTTGATCTGCAACTTCTCATCAGTGCTCGGAGTTGCCTCATTTTTTCTCAAATCACAGATCCCATTTGCCCTGCCTTTGAGAAATACAATTTTTAAAGATTCCATTTAGCATCCTTTATTGCACTCTACATCATAAAGTTATGCTTTATAGCAGCATAAAAAAGCTGTAAAATTAGCATCCTTGTAAACAACCTTCCATGCTCACTAGTGAAGCAGTCTGTGATTTGTACTGATCTCTTAAATGAGACTTGAGATTACAGTGCTCACAATTTCAATTTTTTTAAAAAAAGAAAGAATGCTAATATATAGGGTGAGTGTGACAAAATGTAAAAACAAGAAAGAGTATTTTTCATCACTGATATTTTACAAATTTTGTATTGTGCTGCTTATTTCCCATTTATGTGAAGTCACAAATGAGCATGTTTTTCTCTTCTTCAATCAGAAACACTCTTCAGGAAAGCTCCAACTAGTCTGGGCGCACACCTACCATTTGGCCTAATTAAAATCCCCCAAGGTCCACGCTCTGAGTAAAAGAATAAAATAAGATGCACGCCGTTTCATCTTCATCTGCTTAAGGAGCTTCCATTTTGTGTCCATTTACTTGAGCGACCATCACAACAGTTTCAGATATTCGCCACGTCCGTCGCCCAGCGGTGGGCAATTGCTTTCAGGTACAGAGTGGCTGCGGGGTTTACACTCTGTAGCGCGAGTGTAAATCTTTTTACACTCTTTTAGCAATGAGATCTTTCTGCGGGGAAAGGGGGTGCGTTCTCAGTGCTTCTATTGACCATTCATTTTCAAACCACAAGACCGACTGGCGAGTCTTCCCAGAGAAGCCTGGGATGGATCTGCCTCCAGGTTTAGAGCCCATTCGCCACCTTCCCGCTCAGATACCCCCAAAACAGCAATGTTCCCGAGGCGTCTGGGACACGTGGGCACGCGGGCGCGAGGGGAGCTCGCACCCAGCCCAGATCCGGAGAGAAAATCCGGTGGGGAAGACCCTGAAAAGGTCCCCTCTGCCCTTGGCCTCCGGGGGCGCGCTGTCGCCCCACTGCGGCGGGCCTTCCAGCCGAGCCCGGCTCTGGAGACGCCCGGGGGC